ATACTTGGTAGAAAGTGACTATATTAATATTGGGTAGAAAGGGAATCGTAACTACAATAGGTACAAACAATGTACAGTCTTCCATCTACAAAACAAACCACAGCATAACCTTGTATTAACTACAGTGAATATAGTCTAAACACATCAGGTGCACAACGTTATACTAATACTAATCAGATAGCGTCAATGTGACAGGATTGAGTAACGGGGAAAAAGGTGTCTTTAATGCATCTGTGTTATAAAACGTTCTCCTGCACAAAAACAACTACAGTTGTATATTATTATTATTATCATTTCTGAGATACTTCTTTCATGATATTAGTTTTTGGCAAGTCCCGTCGGAAAGGAGGTTTTATCTACGTCTGTGGTGCTGGGGTTAGGTGCTTTGCTGTTGCACACAGGAGACGTGAGTTTGATTCCCCAGTGGGGAGGTTTTTATAGGTCAAAAGTCTGTAAAACCATTTCCACAATGGAATTATAAGCATTTTTACAATCTGATCACCACGCAATTATCTCTCAAAGTCCTGCACTGCTAATAGACGTTTCTTTTTAAAGCTGAAGAGATCTTAGAGACTCGCCAACACAAATATTATAATCTGATCAAGACGTCTGGGAATTATTGGATTACCTCCGATCCATGAAACGACTTTTTTCCGCAGGGTGCAGCAATTGCAATGTAATTGTCAGACCAAAATTATGTATAAGTATAAGATTGTGAAAACCTAGACATCTTAACCTGTCCGTGTTGGATCTCTTATCAATCCGCGCGATGGACTGTTTTCTTACTTTTTTGTTTCTTTTTCTCTCTCACTCCTCTCACTGAAGGTGCCTCCCATTACGCGAGTGAAACGCTAAACGTTACTGCTAACAAGTTCAGCTACGAGGGCGTGATTAGCTCATTCTGGTTTCAGATAGAAAGCATATTATTAACATCACTGTTCTGTGAAAGTTTTGGAGAAATTTGGGGAAGAGAAGGCGTATAGTGCTGTTGAGCAGGCCTAGTTCAGCATGGTTGGGCAACACCCCACACTTCAAGAGTGGGCCTGGCCTGGCCCTTTCATGGTTGACGAAATCTTGGGAATGGGTACTACATTCCCACAACTTGAAACCCCTCGATTGTTTCCTTTTTTCGCCGCGAGGTGAGGGGGGGGGGGCAAAAATCTACGGAAACAAACCACAAACAATCGAACCATTTAAATTGAATGTTGAACAGGAGGTGCAAAAAATCTACACATCATAAATAGTAAATATGCCACACGGTTATTCAAAATTTTCAGAGGCGTATTAGAACCTGTTAGGAGAGACATCTTTAAGATATAACCTTTATATAAATTTGTTCTCCAATGTGCAAATACATGGTGTGGCTGATTTTAAAGAAGTCGAATACGTTAGAGCTTTTCTCAACTTGGGTTGAAATTTTCAAAACTTCATAATTCTCTAACACCCATTTTCATCATTGACAAAACATTCTTTGGAGTTTGGTTGAAATTGGTCCCAAGGTGACTGAATAGTTGGCGTTCAAATAAGTCATTTTTAGAATCTTTTTTTACACCCGGTAGGCTACTTGCTATGATTATCCCACGTTAGAGATAAGAATCCTATCAATTTTTGCCAACGATGATTTCACATGTGAGCACTGTCGAGACTGTCGACTTCATTCAGAACGTTTGTAACCAAAGGGACATAATCACAATAAAAACTCTTCCTTCAGTGACAACGTGATTATTTTCCTTCAAATTGTTTTACTATAACTAGAACCGAAATTACGTGAGGCAAACGGGCCAGTGCAACGACAGGACTACAGCGTAATAAGTGAGCACTAGGCAATGAGGTTATTTATATAGTACTAGAGCTCTTGGCAGTTACGTCACGCGTGTCAGACATTAGAAAGGGGGGGGGGGAGGATTACGGTGGCCGGCGTGCCCCCATTTAGGCCTACGTGAACAATCTGAGCCCTCGCCTTGCTCCCCAAGAACACAAGTATATTAAACACCGTCCTATCCCCACATTTCAGAGCAAGCTTGAAGATTTGCTCCCAAGACCGGCTAGACATCTCCACGTGAGTCTTGAAAAGTACTCACCTGTCTGTTGTTCTTGCCAGCAAAGCTCCGAGTTGCAGAAAGGACACGCCCAAACCCCCATTCGAAAGAAAGAAAGAGAAGTCTTTCTGTCGGGACGTTGTATCCTTCTGAGCCTGGGTTGGTCTTGACAGGCAGGACAGTAGCCTGCCTCCTAAATAACCAAAAGTGTATCAATGGGGGCGTAAAAAACTAGTTCTACTATTGATATAAAGGAACATAATGTAATACCAGAGAAGTTGTCGCTTATCTCCAACAAAACAAACCCAGCGTCAAGGCAAAAGGCCTAATGTACGGGAAAAATAAACTGCAATGTAAAGCATGTCTCTCAACACATCATTTGTTGACACAGAAATAAACTAACTACCTGAATGTTGAGGAGCACGTCGGTAGCTTAATGGTTAGACTACCGGACCCGCAATTGTGAGATTTCGGGTTTGGGGTTCGAGCCTAAGCTCGGTCCGACGTTGTGTTTTTGGGAAAGGCACTTCACACGAAATTCCCATTTGGCTCGGTCCTTTTGGAAAAAGACGGATGTACCGCCTCTTAAATAGACCTAACGTAATAGGGTCGATAGAGCCAGTAAACGTTTATCATTTCATTTCTTTTTAATGCTGAGAACGGATCAGCTGACATTTAGGAATATAGACATGACAGTGCGAGGTTATTTGAAAGCTCTTTGCCATCAGTACGACACCCCCCCCCCCCTCCCAGGAGTCATGGTTCGCAACATCAGTAAGAGAGCCAAATAATTTTGCACTGTCATTTCTGGAAAAATATAATATCCTGATTAAAGGGGGCAATTGTGAATATTATCCCCAATGTTGAGCAATAGAGATTGGAAATAACACTTGCTGTCACGAGAACATCAGACTCAGTGGCGTCGCGTGGGTTGCAGACAAGGTGGTGCATAATTGGAAAGTGCACAAATGGGCAATAGGCAGACTTGCTACTATTAAATTGTAATGAACGGTTGGTGGGCGCTCTGGTGTCGTCTGTTCTTCCTATTGCTTTCTGCGAGTCTCTGTGTGCGTGTGTGCGTGTGTGCGTGTGTGCGAGTGTGTGTGTGTGTGTGTGTGTGTGTGTGTGTGTGTGTGTGTGTGTGTGTGTGTGTGTAATGTGAGAGAGGGAGAGAGAGAGAGAGAGAGAGAGAGAGAGAGCGAGAGAGAGAGAGAGAGAGAGAGAGAGAGAGAGGCAAAGAGAGAGTGAGTGTGATTGATGACCAAACCTTGTCAGTGTCTGATCCATCAGTAAAAAGCAGACTTGTAATGGAAACAGTACAATTTCTTTTACTTATCATACTACGTACCGGAAAAAAGCGAACATTTCTTGAGCTCAAAATCCCGTGACAGATGAGGACCAAGCTCTTTTATGCGCACTTTGTCTTCTAACTGTAGCCTGCTGAATGGCACAAAAAGGCACAAGAAGCAAAGCGTTAACGTGATTCATCGAGATTTCTAGAGAAAGTCAGTTAGATCTGCAGGATATCCCGTAATCTAGATTTATCGATATTTGTAACTGTTTCTAGATGAAACCGCATAAAAGCTGCAATAAAGTGAAACAATACTAACAACTCACTATGCTCACAATCTGAGAAGATTTAAAGATTTCTAATTACTTTGTGCAGCACCAACAACCAGACTCAATGTGAAAATTTACCTTAACAGGACTTGCTACACGATAGAGGGCGACAACAGTTTCTATACCCATTCTTCATTGAGTTACCGTAGACTCTACTAGTCTACTAGTGTAGTAGATGGGCCTTGAGGTAACTTGGATCAAATTTTTAGCTTGCACCAATTGGTGCTGAGAACTGGAGTTTCACGCACCTTTCTTCTTGTGGGGGAAGGACGATGCATAGATTTCTCTACAGTGACAAAAATAACTTTGGTGCAAAGATTTTGCTTGCTCCCAGCAGACACTACCGCAAGCGGTGCGACGAGCATAAACCATCCTCGCACTCTGTCTCTTCGCTGGCGCGGGCGCAGCCAGCGGGTGACGGGTCGCAAGGATGTAGGCTAGTACTACTAGTACTAGACTAGTGTGTGAATCTAGAGCACTGACTGGTTTAGAACAATTAGAAAACGGGGGAGGTGAAGGCCAGGGTTAGGTGGAGCTCTGGCACCAATTGCACCAATGGCGCCCCGCCACTGATCAGACTCTATATCCTTTGGGTTAATGTAATAATAATATGGATATTTCCATTTTGGTTCTGGTCTTCTCATTTTGAATCAGAAAGCGCACAAGTGAAAAGCAAGCGATCTATGAGGATCTCTAGCTTGATTTTGAAACAGTCAAGAAAATTCATTAACTCTTTAACTTAAGGGCGTTGTAGGCACGTAATAAACATCCGATCAGCAGCAGACCAAAGCAGTCTTTCAGCACATTTCGAACCATCGTACACAAACTAGAAACAATGATTTGCACATTTCAAAGTATTGGTGTTGTTGCCTGCCTTTTTAATTCTGGAATAAAGAAAACAAAATGGACCAATCTGGGTGAAAAATCGAAGTTACGCTTCTTCTTTTCTTCATGTGTTGTCGAATGATCAGAGTACGTGCCATCAATGAGTACTTTGTATCTGCAACCGCCTGGGCGCAGGACACAACTCCAATTACATGCACATGGCAAGCGTCCTTTTCGTCTTTTACCTTTGCTATATTGGCGGCATTCCAGTCAAATCAATAAACTCATTTACAAAACTTTTGCTCTACACTTACAGTGGTGAATCAATAAATAAAGTTGGCCTATTGTTTTGTGTGGGTTGTTGTTGGGTTGTTTTTTTTCAGAATAGCCCGACCGGCCTATATTTGAATAATATAATTTCGGAATATTTTTTTTAATATTTTTGTTCACACCGAGTTCGCATACTTTGATGACGCAACATAAACATTTATTTATTTCACGTCCTTGTTGCACGAAATGAATTTTTAATGACGACTTGCCCGAAGAAAGGGTCGCTTTCCCGGGCATGTAAATTTCAATATTGAAGAACTGATCACACAATCAACTGTAGAACAAGCCAGCCAAGATGAACTCCCAGATTTATTGCTTCCCTCAGAAATACGGATGGAACGCCATCAAAGGAATTTCTGCAGAGAGAACTGTGGAACAAGAAAAGTATGTCCCACTGCAGGGTCAAATTGTGTTTAGTTCAAGACGAACCCTGAAGTGCCAATTAAAACTGCACTCTTAGATATGCGGTAATTAATTAATGTTGAAGTGAAGAGATGGTGGTCGTCATTTTATTTTTCTTCTTTTCAGACTCGTGGCTGATGGCTTCGCAGGTTATCAGTGCCATTTGTCGTGTATCCTCTACAGTTTACCTCTTTCCTGTCTGTAGCTCGAAGGGAATGATATGTCATGCTGGTTACCTACCTACCTACCTACCTACCTACCTACCTACCTACCCACTTACCTACCTACCTACCTACCTACCTACCTACCTACCTACCTACCTACCTACCTACCTACCTACTTAATTTGCCCTTTATGATAATACTTACATTGTGGCTGATAGATTATGAGAAGTAGAAGGACGACGACGATAACGATAACAATAACGAGAGGAAACAGAAATAGATCCGATATTAAAATGTGTCCTCAGATATCTTAACCAGCCTTCGACAAAGCCCCTTTTCAGAGTGCAGTTAAACAAAGGAGTCCACGACGAAAAGGTCTTGCAAGAGTTGCATCGTAAATATCCCCACCTGGGCAGTCTAGGCGCCAACACAGACCTCGCTGCCATAAAATATGTATACACCAGTGAAACTTCTGACAAATTTGGCCCCGATTTTACCCCAGCCTACCGACAAGTAAGTGGCTACCTTCGTGTAATGATAATAATAATAATGGCATTTATACAGCGCTCAACCCCGATTAAAGTGCACAGGCTCTGGGCGATTTACAATACAATAGTAGCGTATAATCAGTACGTTGTGTTCCTACCAAAAGAAAATGTGTCTCTAAATGTTTATCTCATTAAATGATTAATAAAAAAAACCCCACAGAAATGACTTCAGCTGATATTTGAATGAATTAAAGGATATGATCACTCGTAAACTAGTGTGCAAAGCATTCCAGATCTTTGGGCCTTGACATTCAAACGCCCTTTGGAAATGGAGAAATGGTACACCACGGCAGTAGCTGACAGCCAGAAAAAGTAGATTTTGGTATCCTAAACCGATTTTTCGATTTTGGACAATTGTAGTAGAGCAGCTTCTGCTTTATCGATTGGAAATATTTTCAAGTGTCTAAAACATCTATAAAGTGCTCGCATATGTCATGTTTGTGAACATTTTGTTGAAATAAACCAGTATGAATTCGTGTTTTTTTTTCAGTTTTCTCAAAACTATGATTTTCTTTGGGGGGTGGGTCACCTGTGCAGAGATATTTCTGAAAGTACATGTGACAGCTCAATCCCACTTTGCATGACTGTTTCTAGATAATATGTTTGCAACATACTAAAAGATTATTAATGTTATATTGTTATAAGTTTTCTGTCAGTGTGGAAAAGATTGACAGTATCACTCTGATTTGTGATCAATTTTTTGTCCGAGTATCGTATATGACACTAAAAGGGCAGTTACAAAAAAAAAGATGAGACTTAGGAAAGTAAATCTTTAGTACGTTGCAGGTTGTATATATACAGAAACACTGTGTTAAAATATCAAGGCCTTTTGCTATTCAATCTTTTTCAGAATCCTCACACAGAATTTGCGCAAAGTTTGGTCTGTCGAGCCCTTTGCATTAATTGAAGAATTCAGAAAATTGACTGTGAAATCAAAAAGGGATAGTGTGTTTCTGTTTCTTGACTCATATTGGTTATTGCGAAGCCCAGTATACTTAATTTAGAGCCCAAACAAAAATTTTCACTTCAGCTGTAACTAGTGTTTTTGGGGGGTTTTTTAATCAACACTATAAGGTTATCTTAAGAGTGATTTGAGCCATCGGACAGGGCCTTCTCAGCCCTTTTCCAACAGAAAAGCTGGCGTAGACTCCTTTGAGTTTCCTCTTTTCCAGTACACTTTTTCTCGACAGATTAAAGGTACCAAAAACAAGTTAATGAAGTGCCCTTAGTGCAAAACTAATTTTACCTTCTCGGAACCCTGATTGAAGACTCATTTTTACTCAAATTCTAGAATGAGAATTGTAAACATTTCCATTACAATATAGTACATGCTTTTTACGCGTAATCATTTCCTTATTTGGCCTTGATTTTCGAGGTCCAACTTGAGCGTCCTTAAACTAGGAGCCCTCAGAAAACTGACCAGTGCTCTCAGATATATATATA